GCACCATCCCAGCACTCTTTCTGCTGGATTCAACCAGTCCTTCGCATCACCTTTGCTCATTGTGCTCGATACCTGCAATGATGCACCATGCGCCAACGCACCCATGAGGCCTTTCGTTCGATTCTATATTGTGCGTAGGTTTTGGACATGTCACCGCCGTGACTACCATGCTGCATCACAAATCAACAAACGATCAAACCACCACAAAATGTGTCTGCGCGAAATGATTGTCCTTCTCCTTTTCTTTATTATGCTTCGGACATTCTGATTAGTCAGGTTGTGCCAAACCCTGGTTTAGTACACGCCTCATTAGGAAGTATCCAAAAGCCTTTATTTCAATCCTCCTCCTACGCATTGGAATCAACTTCATTCATATAAACCAGCACCATTACAGAGCCACTTAGTATTTATGCATTCTCTGCAATGTTCACGTCTTCTTGACTATCCTGGTCCATGCCCAACCAAACCGCACCAGCATTAGGCACCCATGGCCCTGCAGGCCTTCAGTTATGTGGTTGTGCGCGACCAATCAACGCATGCCTACACTTCTTGTCCATCAGACTCCCTTCTTTGGTTCAGAAGCCACTAAACCCAGCACCATCCCAGCACTCTTTCTGCTGGATTCAACCAGTCCTTCGCATACTTCGCCCTGGAAACCGCACCATGCACTAGGGCACCCACAAGGCTTATTTCATATTCATGTCTCAGGTGTGGACTTCACACTGTGCCTATATGTGCCTATATATTGGCTGTGCAGCAAACTCAATGTATTAATCAGCCATCCAACCAATTATCTCTCCGCTCTGCTGGGACAACACTCTGAACCTCTCCAGCTTCATCAAACATCTTGCAATTGGTTATTTGTCAACTACTGCGAACATGTGCAACATGTCTAGCCGACAACATTTCGCGCTTCTTGGATAACGTCCTCCTTTTTTTTCTCTCGAATGCTGCATGGTCTTAATGAGAACTGTCCTACTCTGCCCATGTTGGCTGGCCCAGTGTACTACTTTGCCTACATTATAGTATAGTGTTTAACGGGAGTGTCTTGAGAGCCAGATTTGACTAAATTAAATAGATTCAATATGATTCAATAGATAATAGTGCCATGGGCCATAGTCATGTTGCCATGCAAGTAGTTAGCTTTGTCAGTCACTCCGTATTCAGAAGATGAGAGATAAACCATGGCACCGATTCCTCACTCGTGATCTGTTGCCGTATCGGTCCGTGGCCGGCACCCGACAGGTCAAGCTTTGCAAGGCCTTGAAAACCGTCGATAGGGAAGTCTGCCTTTGCACGAAAACCGCTGATGTGCGAAAACCGAGTCATCATCTGAAACGGCTTGGCCTGGGTTTTGTTACACAAGATCTCGAACATCACCTCTCGGGAAAAAACGACGAGTCATTCAGGGGATTTGGTCAGTGAGTCATCAAGTTATCCAGGGATTTGCTTTGAAGATGGGGCATCTCGTGGTCTGGAGCTCTGCATTGCTCTGCCTTCCTCGGGTTTTTCGGCTTCTGGGCCATCCAATTTGGGCAGTCTGCCATGCGACTCGCGACAGAGCCACAGGGTTTGCGCAGAGTTTTCAGTGCAAACGCGCCGGACCACGGGGCCTTTTTGGCCGATCTTTTTGGGCCCTTGAGGTGGGTGGTCTCAAAGATGATGCATGTCCATCTTAAACATAAAAGGAAACGAGAGAATCCAATGATATCATTATTATCATTATTATTCATTAACAATATTAATGATATCATTGGATTCTCTCGTTGTTGGACCATTTACTGCTGCCATCATCTCTCAGAATAGACGGTGAGTCGTGACGGGTGAAAGGTCAAAGAGTCGCGTACGAAGACCGAGGGACTCGCATGGAACCTCCAACGTCGTGTCTATCATGGAAGCGTCCTGCGACGGTGACATCCAGTCCTTTACAAACGTTTAGTGGAAGCGAATCTTTGGACATGTGAAGCAACTTGCTTGGACGTGTGGTCCAAGGTGGACATGGGGTCGATCGTTCCAATGTGGTTTCAAAGCAACGTCATGTTTGGGGAAGTGTTCAAGAGAAGGTGCAGTGGTTTGGACCAACAACCATGTCATCAATGCGCAAGGTGGCAAACAAAAACTTCACCGAGACGACTGAACCATGGAAGTCATGCACCATGCTCACAACTGGTGACACCGTCTGGTGACACCGTGTGACACACCCGAACCCGCCGAAGTCTCCAGTGGCTCCATCTCAAGCTTTCAGATGCTCTCAGCTCTCTCACTTCATTCCTTAGCTCTGGATTGAAACTTGAGTGGCCAACGAAGCAGCACACTTGAGCTCAAAAAAACCTGCGCAGGATCTGCTCGGCCTATGTCTAATGTCCAGGGAAGTCAACCAAAAAAGGACGCTATGCCCATGTAACAGCGATGACACTATGGTCCTCATGACACCCAGGGTACGCCGCCAGCAACACACCGCCGCGGACCGTCACGGTTGGAGTTTTAATAGTCAGCCCAGTGGGGAACCCAAACAGATCGGCTTCACATGTGAATTTGCGTGAAAGGAAGAACCATATCTAACTCCAGAAAGGGAACGTGGAGTGTTTACAAAGCAGAGTCTTGATGACATGTAAAGAAACATACAGTATCTTGCTAAAACATGTCCTTTAAACTTCCCCACACCATCCCACACCCAACTCCACAGGTCCCACGGCGTCCACCGAAAACTCTCTCGCCAGGCTGCGCGTCACCGTCCGCTGCTTGGTGGCGTCCTTGACGACCTTCTCGTCCGTGGGCAAGCCCTTCCGCTTTCGAATGTCATCCACCAACTTACCTCTCTCGGAGCACCGGCACGACCGGTCCGACCGGTGCTCCACGGGTGGGCGATGGTTGTCTCGAATCGTTGGAGGTTGGCGGTGAGCAACAAACAAGCTTGGGACGTGTGTCAAGGTGAAAGTTCAGGCAAACACCACACAACCAAGTAAGAGCATATGAAGGACTCATGCCTCACCCACTTGGTCTGTGAATCACTGTGAATCAGGATGAATAAAGCATGTGACGGCGTTCTGGAGATGCTTGGGATCTGCGCCGATTGGGAGCATGAAGCCTGAACCAAGCAAGGTGTTGTCGACCATTGATATAATACAGGGATATCAGTGGTTGACATGGACATGATAGAATATGACAGAATAGAACCTGATTCGTGATAGTTAACAAGAGAGAAGTACTACCGGAAACGCACCATTGATTGTGTCGTTATCATCCTCCAACCTAGTGCACCTGGATCTTTGCAAACACACAAGGCTAGGTCACTGCCATCTCTCCAACAGGTGAGCTATTTCATAGTAGCCATTCTGACCTGCCAGAACGAAAGCTGTTGCACCATCTTGCTTGACAGCGTCACTTTGAGCACTAGCTTCCAGCAAAGTTCGCACCACTTCCAAGTGGCCATTCATAGCTGCCAAATGCAAAGCGGTTGCACCATTTTGCATGGTAGCATGGATCTGAGCGCCAGCCACAAGCAAACGTTCCACCACTTCCAGGTGGCCGTTCTGAGATGCTATATGCAAAGCTGTTTTGCCAGCATGTGTTGTAGAATCAGTATCACTATTGGCCTGAAGCAGACTTTGCAACACCTCTATGTGGGCATTGTGAGCTGCCAAATGCAAAGCTGTGGCACCATATTGCGTCTTAGCATTGACTTCAGCGGCAGCTTCCACCAAACTTGACACCACTTCCAAATGACCATTCTGAGCCGCCACATGCAAAGATGTTGGGCCATCTTGCCCATCGCTTTTGCCACCCTGATGCCAACTTCGTACTACCTCATGGCCATCGTTTGAAGCCATAAGCACTGTAATTCCATCTCTCTCTGTTGCACCCACTTTAGCAGCAGCTTTCAGCAAACTTTGCACCACTGGCACGTTGCCATTACGAGCTGCCAAGAACAAAGCTGTGGAGCCATCATGGCGTGTAGCATCCACTTCAGCAGTAGCTTCCAGCAGAATTCGCACCACCTCCACGAAGCCATTGCGAGCTGCGAGCTGCAAAGCGCTGGCTTTTTGCTCACCTGACACACTCGGATCCTGGCGGGAGTGAAGCATTCGTACCACGCTCTTCAAGCGATTCCTTGCACAGGCCGAAACAAATTTTTGATTGCTTTCTGCATCATCTGACTGTAAATCCAACACCAGCAGCTGCACACTCTGCAGACCCGGCCCTGTGGTCAAAGGAGCATCATCACGCAGCTCACCCAACTCCATATCTAAAAGTCTCAGTCGAAACCTCGACACTGCAATCTGAGCTGCAAGAAACTCTTTGAGTGCCCGCACGGGTTTCTCACTCTGCAATATTGGGCCAAGCTCCTGAAAGGTGAGGCAATGCGTGGCCGAGATCTATTTTGCATGCCTGCAAAGATCAAAGTATATATATATATTTATAGTAATAAATAGTCTGTATGATTAACAGTCATATTCATGCTTGATGACGTACTTCAACATGCTGCATGATAATTCTCCGTCTGCATCTATCTATATTAAAATAATGTGTATATATATAGTATACATATGAAGACTTGCTGTTTCATCATGTCTTTTCCTCGTTGTCATCTCCTGCTCCCCAAGTTCCGCCAGTTGTGCGCCAGACACAGCAGACAAGACCTCCAGCATCCGCTGGGGCGCATCAAACAGATTCATGTCCAGGACCAGCTACGCTGGCTGAACTTGTCTGGTCTGTCTGGCGACCTCATATCACCTCACCCTAAAAGTCCAAATAAGAAGTTACAGTAAAGCGTAGGGCTGCCAGGCTGTCCAAGAAGCTTGATTCTCAGTAAGGACATGGCCTACATACTCTTGGCACATGAATGATGCTCGAGCAAAACACGAAGCCGAGATTGCTGCGCGGAAGACCAATGGCATGGCAGGAGGAACGTCAGGTTTCTGCCATGCAAACAAATGTTCTTTTCTGCGTGGACAAAAGGTCTTGGTTGATGCAAACATTTTTTTTTTGCTCATCTGAATGATGTGAGCGCTACTGATATGTGATGTAAAATCACGGTAGTTGAGACATGTTGTGACACAGTCCCTGCTTCAGTCGGCATTGGCTTCTGGCCAAGTCGCATAATTTCCAAGAAAGCGTCCTTGCTCCTAGTAGCTTCTTGTTCCTAGTAGTAAGGCCAGAAGCGCCCCTGGTAGCGTCCTTGCTCCTAGTAGCGATGCCCTTTGTTCCTTGTAGCGATGCCTTTGCAACTAAGCTGCACCGAAAGACCTGATAGATAGAATAAAGTGGGTGTGGATGAATACCTGGGGGACCCTGATCGGCTAGTGGACCATTCACACATGGGACATGCAGAATTTGGTCCATCTCCCAATGATGTCCTTGGAGGAATCGATTCGTTTTGCTCACCAGCAAGCCGAACAAAATGGGATGGATCAACCATGGGGCCCCATCAAGAAAATCCAACTCTGCCCATCCACCGCACCAGAACGCGCCCCTAGTAGCACGAGTCCCGCAAACGCACGCCCCGCACGTGTCGTTCACGTGCCCAGGTGCGTGCGGTGTTGGGCGGGGGCGGCTGGTCACCCATCTCCTCCAGGTCTTCGGGGGAGCTCATCGACTGAAAGGGATCTTCCTGCGTGCGCTCCGCGAGCGCCGGAGACTTGGCGCGCGCGGGGAGACTTGGGGGCAGGTCAGTGATGGTCAGTGAAGACAGTGCCTTTAAAGAGACCATAGGGAGCTGTGGGAAAAATGGATCTGGAGGCACCAACAAAAAGACTGTTTCATGCGGCTTAAAAGAGAAAGTATGAGATAAACTTGTCTATCTACAGGTGTGCCTTTAGGTAGGGTGTTGTTGTAGTGGTAGATACTTGGATAGCTGGTCAACATCCGTGTCGTGGTAAAGGACACGTGACCAACATTCACCACCATCTGCGATATTCAGAGTCTGACGCTCCACTGCTGGCCAGGCGTTGATGGGTATAGGCCCTAGTATAGGCCTAAAAACCCTTCCTTGCAAGCTTGCAGCTCCAAAAGGAAGATCCTTCCGGAAGATCTGCCGATTTGCAAAGCATTCCAGTTTCCTCTCTCCTTTCCTCTCTCAGTGGATGGTTTTCGTTCCCAGCCTCAGAGAGTTCCCAGTGACTGAAGGCCACGTGGAAGGAGACGTGCCCCGAGGCCGCCTGAAAACGATGCGACGGCTTGGCGGCGACAGGGTGATGACAGCTTCACCAAGCTGCGACAGGGTGACGAAAGGTTGGTGAAGCTGTGGCAGGCCGATGTTTGGTGTTTGGAACCTTTTGGAACCTTGACGACTCTACATCTACGAACGCCAAGGGAACTTGACGAACGCCTTAGCTTCACCAACAAGCGACTCTACAGTTTTGTAACATAGTAATTCTGAAGGTTGTGGACAAGGCAACATCCATGAGGAAACGGTGGTGTCTTTGATATTTGATGTACCAGTGCCATCTTCAATGACACTGCCTCAGGACGACTAACAGCGGTCTGTATCATGAACCATGGCCTGTCTCAGCTGCTTCGCCAAGTCGAAGGAGTTGGCCAACGGCCTTGGCACAAAGTGGCATGGCATGTGGCGGTATGCATCCGCAACTGCAGAACGGTCCACATTGAAAAAGTCAAAGCCTTCCCAAAAACAATGCGTGCTTTATTGCTTCCATGAACAATGATAACAATGAACATGAAATCGCCGTGGGGGCTTTGAAAGCTCTCTTTTGGTCCTAACGAGACGGGACAGTCATCAGGTGAGGTCACCAAGCTACTCGCTCGAGGTCGACCATTCCCACGAGCCAAAAGAAAAATCCATTCCCACTCTTCTTCGCCCACGCGGACAAGGAAGGCTTCCCAATCCGCTTGGCTTGGCGTCTGACAGCGAGGAAGACTGCCGCGTCTGACCGGATCCGTTGAATGACTTCTCCGTGCGCCCAGCGACAAATACGCATGCACATAGAAGATGGAGGTGCCTTCCCGCAAGACTTCTCCTTGCACTTTGGCCTGCGACTGCAATCGCAACCAAGGCTGTGTGAAGAGACTTTACTAGTACCAAGGACGCTATTAGGAGCAAAGGGCAACACTACTAGGAGCAAGGACGCTATCAGGGGCGCTCCTGGCCTTACTACTAGGAACAAGAAGCTACTAGTAACAAGGACGCTTACTAGGAGCAAAAGTTGAAAAAGTCCAGATTGCTCAACTTGGGTCACGTTCCATAGTTCACATTGCACAGGCTCAAGTTAACAGTTCTAATATGTTCTAATTGTCTGAGTTGTTCCGATGGCTGACTCACCAATCTCATGATGGCTTACGGTCTGTGACCCACTTCTCCACAAGACATGTCACGCCAAACCCACTTCTCCACCGCGTGCTGCCCCCCAACTCCAAACCAAATGAACTCCAAAGGGCTCGACGCTTGCTCAGCACTGCGTAGACCTTCCCCAGCATATGCTGCTCACAGTTCAAGTCCACAGAAAGCATGGCCTGGACCAGGCGAAGTGGATGCCTTTCTCATGATCCCTACCTGTACGATTCCAACTGTTCTTCCAAATTCCACGTGTCTTCATAAGTTTTCTGCAATCAACTCTAACTCGGATTTGCTTAAGGAACCGGAAAACAAATATTATCCAGAAGGAGGTTCCCCCATGGGGAAAAATCATCCTAATCAAAATGCAGGATCGGGCCGTGAAAGAAGGAACTCCAAATCTCTAGGCAATTGTAAAACATAGACCAAAACACTAGGCTGTGTCTCATACGCAAAAACAATTACTTTACTTCGAAATTCCCCACCCTCAAAGAATTGGTCTTCACAAGAGAAAAGCGGTTCGGCGCGAAAAGGATTCTTTATTGAAAACAAAACCACACATCGAATACTTACTCGTGAGGTTTCTGAACTTCGATATTTTAATGCCTGGCAACCCCACATCCCTGCCAAGTCAACTTGTGGTGGATATGCTGTGGAACTGGTACTTGGGAGCACTCTGGTGAATGTGCTGGTGTAAAGGCTACGCTGGGCTACTCGGGGCCACTCTGGTGGATGTGCTGTGTAAGGGCTACTCTGGGCCACTGTGGGCCACTCTGGTGGATGTGCTGTGTTCTTTGGGTTGCTCTGAGCTACGCTGGGACCACTCTGGTGGATGTGCAGAATACTGAAGTCCAAAGTTCTTAAAGTCTAACAGCCCCACAGTCCTACGGGTGAGAAAAAACTGCTTTGATCAGTACATTACAAGTCTACAACTATCCTGCGATCTCTTTGGTACATGTGCTGTGGAGAAGCTAAGTTGCGCTACTAAAAACTGTGGTTGCTGTGGACAAGCTAAGTTGAACTACTTAGAAATCAGTTTGTGAATGTGCTGTGGAAGAGCTAGGCAGCTAGGTTTAGCTACTCAGGGATCAGTTTGGTGAATGTGGTGTGAATACTCAGAGGTCATTTTGGTGAATGTGCTGTGGAAGTGCTACGTTGAATTACTCAGGGATTACTTTGGTGAACAGGGATCAGTTTGGCGAGCGTGCTGTGAAAGAGCCACTTTGGGCTACTCAGAGATCACCTTGGTGAACGTGCTGTGGAAAAGCTAGCTTGAATACTCAGGGATCACTCTGGAGAACGTGCTGTGGAAGAGCTACTTTGGGCTACTCCGGGATCTCTTTGGTGAACATGCTGTGAAAAAGCTACTTTGGGCTTCTCAAGGATTACTTTGGTCAACGTGCTGTGGAAGATCTAAGTTGGGCTACTCAGGGATTACTTTGGCGAGTGTGGTGTGGAAGAGCTAAGTTGGGCTAGTCAGGGATTCCTTTGGTGAACGTGCTGTGGAAAAGCTACTTTGGGCTTCTCAAGGATTACTTTGATCAACGTGCTGTGGAAGATCTAAGTTGGCCTACTCGCGGACTACTTTGGTGAGTGTGCTGTGGAAAAGCTAAGTTGGGCCACTCAGAGACCACTTCGTGAGTGTGCTATAGAAGAGCTAAGTTGGGCGACCGGGCGTACTGAAGTCCGAAGTTCTAAAAACCTAACAACCGACAGGCCTACGGGTGAGAAAAACGAAGCTTTTGTTGGCTTGATAAGTACATTGCAACTCTACAACTACCTTGGAATCACTTTGGTAAATGTGCTGTGGAGAAGCTAAGTTGCGCTACTAAGAACTGTGGTTGCTGTGGAAGAGCTAAGATGAGCTACTTAGAAATCAGTTTGTGAATTTGCTGTGGAAAAGCTAGGTTTAGCTACTCAGGGATCAGATTGGTGAATGTGGTGTCAATACTTAGAGTCATTTTGGTGATTGTGCTGTGGAAGTGCTACGTTGAACTACTCAGGGATTACTTTGGTGAACAAGGATCACTTTGGCGAGCGTGCTGTGGAAGAGTTAAGTTGAACTAGTCAGAGATTACTTTTGTGAGTGTGCTGTCAAAGAGCTACGTTGAACTACTCAGGGATTACTTTGGTGAACAGGGACCACTTTGGTGAGTGTGCTGTGGAAGAGCTACTTTGGGCTACTCAGGGACCACTTTGGCCAGTGTGCTGTGGAAGGGCTAAGTTGCGCTACTCAGGGGCCACTTTGGCCAGTGTGCTGTGGAAGAGCTAAGTTGCGCTACTCAGGGGCCACTTTGGCCAGTGTGCTGTGGAAGAGCTAAGCTGGGCTACTTAGGGACCACTTTGGCCAGTGTGCTGTGGAAGAGCTACTCAGGGACCACTTTGGTGAGTGTGC